TAATCCATCAACTTTTTGAGCTATTCATTGAACTGAATTTTTCAAGTCAGACTGCCACAAATCAGATATTATGAGCAGTATTAACCTAAACTAAATAATTTCAAAAATACAAATAAAAGGTTCATCAAGAGTGGCTCTCCAGATCTGACCTTCCTATAACAGATGTGTTAATCTAGCCCAGAACAGATAAGTGGGGTGTGAACGGTTTCTCACATTGTGGGAAGCATTCCAATTATGAAACATTTTATACCTTGAGCTAAGAGAATCTATGCAATATTCTCCAGGGAGCAATGCCTCCTAGACTTTGGTTTTATTTGTTATAGGTCATCCTTACCCAGAGACATCCTGCTAAGAACACTTCAGTGTTAGGCCTTTTCTTCCTAGCAAATAGCATTAGTCCATTTATCCAGAGGAGGTCCAATTGACAAGGAGACTAGAGCTGGTCACTTCTTGTTATTGACTGAATATTTCTTACCTCTCTCTGAATTTGTAGGTTGAATCCCTAACTCCCAATGTGATGTTTTTTGGAGATGGGACATTTAGGAGGTAATTAGGGTTAGATTAGGTTAGGAGGGTGAGGCCCTCATGATGGAATTAGTGACCTTCTATGAAGAGAAACCTCTCTTTCTACATGCCCACTCATCAAGAAAAGGCCACATGAGAAAACACTGGGAAGGTGGCATTGTGCAAGCCAGGAAGAGAGCTCTTACCAGGAACCAAATCAGCTGACACCTTGATCTTGAACTTTCTAGCTTCAGAACTATGAGAAATAAATTTATGCTGTTTAAGCCACCCAGTCCACAGTATTTTGTTAAGGCAACAAAGGCTAAGACACTTCCCTTCACTTCTTTCCCCCAAGTTCTTTCCCTGGTAAAGAGAGTGAATGAGTAAATGTGTCATAGGCCACTTTCTTTAATATCTCCCATTTACCTTTTAACTATTTTTTTTTAAATAATGGAGTACATACATCTGTTATATTCTTATTTCCAGGCAATCCTCAAAATCACTTTTTTTATATAGGAAAAATCTTCACAGGGCTCTAAAATCAAAAGAACATATCTCACCTTAAATTGTAACACCACCTGTCCAATTACCTCTCAATACTAACCACTTTTATTAATTTCTGATATTTTCTGCAGCTTGCTTTCTTTGCCTAAAAAATATCATGGATCTTTCCATATCAGTATGAAGAGAATTTCCTCATTCATTTTCAAAACAGCTTAGTGTCCAGTGGTATGGATATACCACTGTATACAGTATATACAGATATATACTGTATCTGTACCCTAACTTTACAAGGTTAAAAAAATGTTTTGTAATGTGAGCCTCTAGAAATGTCAACTGCACCTTTGTGGTATGTTCCTGTTCCACTCTATAGTCACTGTCCTCTGTGTTCCCAGGTGCTTATATTTATTTTTTATTGGGGTAATTACACTTGAGTTTGCTCTCTCAACAAATTTTAAGTGTAAATATACTACACTACAATACAATACAGTTAACTATACATGCAATGCTGTATAGCAGTTCTCTAGAACTTATAACTGATTTATAATAGCATTCACTTCTTTTTTTAACATAAGCATATCAACATAAACATAAACAATTAAAATTTTTCTACAATTGGAAATTCAATGGCCTGACTCCCCTTTCCTTCAGGGAAAGTTACAACTCAGCATTTGCCTTTCTCATGGTAGCAATGCCTAGAAAAACATCATCCTACTTTAGCACAAAAAGAAAACTAACTATTCCAATGTTTCTATACTTGAATAGATATTGATTAGATTGCATAAGAGATAAAGAATATATTCTAAATTTCACATATTCCTTTATTGAGTATTAAGTGTATATACATGTCCTTTAACCTTGAATAATTGAAAATATTATGCCTGCCCATCTGAATAGAGCAAAGTAGTTAACAGTGCAGGCTTCAGAGTCAGGCAGATGCAGGTTCTAATTCCAACTCATTTGCAGTGAAATAGCTTTGTGATCTTGGAAAAATTTGAATAAATATCAATTTCCCCATAATGTGAGGATATAGAGTTTAGGCCAGTAGCTTGTAAGGAGGATCAACAGAAAATATACATAAATCACATATAGTAGTTACTCAATAAATAGTAGCTTTAATTATCATCATTATTGTTTGCATCTATTTAGTGACATTCTGTAATAGATTTTGGGCAACAGTAATGTATGGCACTATCCTTGCTCATAGTGCAGTGGGAAAAGCATGCCGGCAAACAAAGAATATAACTTTAATATATAATAAAGCAGTATATTAATAAGTGAAATGCTATCTCCAGGATAAAAAACTATTCTAAATATACATTTCATATAGCAATTATTTTGAAGAGAAAAAATGCAAGACAGTCTCCACTGGAAGAGATACCATTTATATCAACTTCAGTTTTCCTTTGTTAAAAAGTATAGAGAAACACATAACACTACAACAAGGCAGTAGCTATTTTAATTTGGGAGTTATGGATTTGGAAGGCACTTGGATCTGGCAGTACCTTCGAATCTCAATAACTTCTTGATAATGTAGGCATATGTAAGGGTGTAAGGGATGGGGGAAGCCTCTGACATGGATATTTGCTTCTCTTGATAATCAACTATTTTCCCCCATAAAAACAAAGTATGAAAAATGGCAGGGAAAGGCTAGATGCCCCCCTCTTTTTGTGTGACAAATAACACATGTGAATACAGTTTTGCAACAATCAAAAATCATTGCGGAAACAGCACTTTTTCAAGAGGACTGAGAAGTCAATGCTTCTGGAAGAGGGCCCATAAATCCACAGGCTTTTAACTTTGTTGACAAAGTGTCTGAATGTCAAAAAAAATTATACCCCTGGTTACCAACGCAGCCTACACATTTTGTAAGCCAAACAAACAACTCAAGGTAAAGGAAGACTCTGCTGTGGTGGGCACAACATTCGCAGAATTATAAGACACCTTTTGGGTATTAAGTGTATAAAGAACATATTTATTTATTCTACAGAAAGGCATTAGCAGTACAGAGTGGCCAATACCTCAGCAGCAACCAGGAAACGAATTTCAAGCCAGAATTCTTCTAGAGAGGAATCAGCTCTGAATTCTAAGTTTTCTTTCATCAAGTGAGTCTCTTGATTACAGTTCTGCAATTCTTGTCTAATAGTCTGCCACATAATTTACTGTTAATTCATAGGTTTATGTAATCAGAAATCCTAAATTAGATGGTCTTTTGTTCAAAGTAGTTTATTATAATTTTTACCGTCACTTCACTTAGATATCAGGAATAGTAACTTATTAAGAATAAGGACGAGAAATGGAAGAAGCATCAAACCTTGTAGCAAGCGAGCAATTGACAGATTTATACCAGCTTCTAAAACACTGAGAACATCTTCTATAGAAATGCTGCAAAAAGTCAGTATCCAAGCTACCTCTTCGGATATCAAACCTAAAAAGTCGCTCCTTGCAAACTAACACAGAGAGAAATGAAATGCCTCTTCATCCATTAGTATCTCACCACCAAAGTCATTAACTTCACGTAGCCTCCGCGGTTTAGCTTCTTCTTCCTTTTACTGCATCAGAAGGAAAGCATGGGCGTTAGGTCCGCCCACTCCGACTCCCAGCACGAAGGTCTCCGAGTAGCCTTGTGCATCAACGCAAATTAACGGGGGCTGTTGCCAGTAGTCCTTGAGTCCTCTAGAAATCCATCATCCTCTAAAAATCGACAGCCCTTCTCCGTTTCTGCTTCCTCCAGAGTCAGCTCACACGAAATCCAGTGCAGGCTCATCCCTGATATTCTAATGTGTGCCCTGTAAGCTACTTGTCTGGGAAGGCAAGGATGACCTTCGCCTGCTCTGGAGAGATTTCTGAGCTGAATGGTGCTGATAGAGCTCCCATCAACACAAGTTTTATCTTTTGAGCCAAATAATTTTCTGGTTCCACTTCTGCGCTTCTGCGGCTCCACCTTCGGTGTTTGCCCACTGTCTTCTGGGTCAAGTCTACCTACCATCTTTCAACTCGGGAGAGGACTCTCATAGCAGGTCAGGAGCCTAAGGTACCTGAGAGCTACCTGGATGGAGACAGTGGCGGAGCGTCGCGCCGGCATCAGAGCCAAGGAACCCTGCACTATCCCTGCTTAGCGCAACTTTGTGTTTTCTTCCGGCAGGTCCCAAACTGTGGAGATTAACGAAGCCCCCGAATGAAAAAACAAAACAAAACAAAACAAAACACCCGCAGCAGTCCCCAGCCTGGCCAGCACTTGGGAAAGCAGAGCAAGGCTCTGCTAGTTAATTGCCAGGAAGCGACCTCCCAGAGCGCGAAGGCGAACCAGTGTCAAAAACCAGAGGACAAAAGTTTACTTTGGCTGAACAAGTCCGGCAGACCAGTGCGGATAAGCAAACTCCCGCTAGGAAGCTTCTTCCAGGGGAGTGGTAAATGGGCCCGGGACGCTTCTGAGAGTTAAGTCTCTCTGGTTTGGGGCTCTCCAGCTGTATACGGCGCCCAGTGATCACTCCAAGATGACGAGGGAAGAGGAAGAAATTGGAACCGGAGCTAGCTGGTGACCTGGGCACCTACTCCAGGACCCAAACCTCGGAAATGGCTGCTAAAGGGGCTGAGTTTCCAGACTCCTAATCCCTCCCCTTTCTTTAGCTGAGTCTTTCACCTGCTACCGTCCAGTTTGCAGTATAAGCGTAGACCCTAAATTAAGACCAGTTCCAAAAGCTAGGCTTTACAATTTCCTAGACTGTTTCTTTCATAAAGATCTACGCGGGCTTCAGGAGCTTCTTGGGGAAATGTGTGAGGGAACGGGCAGGAAAGGCAAGATGAGAGGGCATTCTGTCCAGGAAACAGGGTTTGGGCTCCTCTATTCGAAGGACCTCGGGGAGCCCATTGGAACTCCCGGGCTTGCATCTGCAACCACTTCAAAGCTTGGCGAGAGGAGGGGCGGAAGTGGCTCTGGAGGGTGGAGTTGGGGACTGGGTTCGCCTCCAGTCTGGCGTCCTAAATCAAGGTGCGGGGCGTAACTGGCCTCAAGGAAAGAGCCAGAAAGTCTAGATGTCTGAGAAGGCAGGGACCCGGGAGGTGGCCGAACGGGCTTGAGGGCTTGCCGCGAGCAACTGCCTGTCAGCAACAATGCGAAAACTGGTGAGGAGTGGTCCAGTTCCCTCGTCACCTGCATCCTTGTAAACCCTGCCTCTCCTTGCGCCTCCGGTCTTCAGGTTCTCCTGCGGTCTGGGGAGGCGGGCGCGGGGCTGAGCGTGCGTGTGTTGCTGCGCGCTCCTGTGTGTGCGCGCGCTTGTGTGTGTGTGTGCGTAAGTGCGCAGCCCGCGCGCAGAGCTTGGCCACCGGGACCTAGCTGCCCGCCACCCGCCGCCTGACTGGTGTCCCTCCTCCTTGCAGCCACCTCCTCGCAAGCCTCCTCACCTAGTGCTGGTAACCCGGCGCTGGCCGCCTGCCCAGCCCCGCTCGGCGGATGCAGCCTAAGCTCAAAGTTTCCTTAGCCCAGACACCTTGGCAAAGGGCTACCCAAGCTGTGCCTTGGACTGGTTCTTCTTACAGCACCTCTCCGCCTTGTCCCCATCCGATCCGAGCAGAAAGTAGATTTTCCAAATTAAAGGGAGAAAGGGGTGTGTGTGTGTGTGTGTGGTGATGAGGTATTATTAAAAGAGACCAGGGCGGCCACAACTGAAAACATCCGCTTCTTTTCTGACCGATGCCCTGGAATTGACTGATGACGGGCCTGTGAGGTTAAAGAAAATGAAATAGAAAGCCAAGTTGACCGAGGAGGGGCTGGCTGCCAGCAAGGTTGTCCTGTCTCCGTTACTACACGGGCGTGAAGATTTGTAGGCGCAGCCAGTGCAAGAGCTTCAAATCGCCATCCACTCCTGATCCCCTTGGAAGGAAAAGCCGGCAGAGCTCAGGGAGAGTGAGTCAAGAAAAAGCCTCTGGACTTGTGTGCGTCGCAGCCTTGGTTTGGGATTTTAAGGATAGGAAAGAGAATTAACAGCATCTCAAGGTAAGAAGCAGCAAACCGCTGCCGGAATTGTCAGGAAGAAGAATAACTTAAGTACATGTTGGGGAGGGGATGGAGGGAGCAGTTAGGCCAAGTTAGGATATCTCTGGGCGTCACCAAGCGAATGTTTGGGGGCGGGCAAATACAGGAGTAGCCGGTGCTGCCGGGGCCCAGGTGGGAGGCAGCAGACACGAGGAAGTGTCCTGACCATACACTTTTTGGAAGCTATTGGAAAGAGGTACGGAGCCGGGTCGTCTGTCCAGTCTGATTTACAACGTGCATTTGTGTGTGTTCTTCCTACCAGATTTGTTTTTCTTTAGCACAGCATACCCACGCCATCGTTGTCATAGAGCGCTGCGAGCACGCTAGCGCCTCTCCGAAGCGGGGGCAGGTGAGCCCGGCGTAGGTGGGCAGGTGGCGGCGGTGGCAGCATCAGGCGGGTGGTTTGCAGGGCGAGCGAAGAAGTCCAAGCCGCCGTCTGGCTGGCTCCCAGCAGTCGGCGTCGGAGCCCGGGCGCCGCAGGTCTGTTGCGATTCCTTTCGCTTCCGCTAGAGGCTCCCAGTGGGCACCGCGGAGCGGGTGGGTGTGGGGGCCCGGGTAGGGGGAGGGCGAGCGCTGGGAGGTAGCGTGCCCGCGGGGTGGCGGAGCGGGCGAGGCAGAGAGAGGTGAGCAAAGGCTGCGGCCGGGGCGTGAGCCTGAGTGCCGGCTAGCCTCCTGGCTGCGCGCAGAGCTGCCGGGAGGCGGGTGCGAATGCAGGCTGAGCTCGGAAAAGCTGTGACCTGAGCCGGAGACACTTTGGGGATGTGATCCTGGCCCGTGCCCTGAAGGCAGTCCCAGGAGGTAAGGTCTTCTTTCTTTGCGTCCCCCTCCCCTGCCCAATCCGGGCAGTTTTCTGTAAATTCTCAACCGATTACCAAAGGTGGTAGGGAGTGGAGGGTGCGGGTCTATTGGATCTGTATCTAAAGGTGCCTTTCAGTCTTGTTCCGAGGAGCTCCGTGAAATGTGTATTTGAACTAATTCCTTATTTTGCCCGCTTCCCCAGAATATTGCCGGCTTTAAGGGAAGTTTTCTGCAAAGTGCCTGATGGCTGGCGTTTGGGCCAGGCTGCTCGAAGGTGAGCCAGGGAACCTGCTGTGCTCCCCTGAGCCGCAGTGGATTGGAGTGCAGGACTCACTGGGTGGGGTGTGGTGGAGGAAGGAGTACCACACCCTCTTTTTTCTCTCCCCTTCCTCTTCACTTGATGGTGAATTCTTACCATCGAGGGTTTTACTGATTTCCTTTCCCAAGGGACTAGATCTGAGAACAGAGTAAAGCTGCTGAAAGACGTGAAGAAAGATAAAGAAGAGAAGGAAGTCATTGCCAGAACGTCAGGCCAGGAAAGAGGGCGAAGTTAAGCTTGGGGGGGGGGGGGTTGGGGAGGGGGCAACCCGGGTAATAATAGCCTTAGAGTTCAGATTATTTAATGAATTCTGATTCATTGAACATTTCACACAGTCTTTGGCATAATCTTTGTTCAAATCCACTAATAAAAGTCATTTCTGCTAGGTATTGCCTTGGGCACCAGTGGACACTGAATATGTTTGATGACTGTATCTAAACAAACAAACAAAAAAAACAAAACCAAAAACAAAAAAACACACACAAAAACAAGTGGATGTGTTTGGTGTGATTACACCGTATCTGTCAGGCAGCTGGCAATTTTTTTTTCTTGGCGTGTTGTGTTAGTGAATACCGTATGTGGTCATTTTACACTCAGTATTGCAATTTTAGAGTCCTCTAAAGGTGGCTCTTAACAAACAGGACTTGTGATATTAAATCTGAAGAATAATACTGAAGAAGACAGGAAATATGATGGGACATGGAATATTCTAGGAAAACTGAATAAAAGCCAAGATCTAGCATTTGGGAAATACTGGACCACATACAGAAAGAGTGAACAATATTTTTCAGATATGGAAAGTGATGCTTAACATTCCAAAAGAAAGGGCTATTCTTCAGTGTGCTATCATCATCATCCAGTAGTTTGCATTACTTCTAATACAATTAAGAATAAGAGACAGAAAAAAAATGAAGTACTTCCTGCTGAAAACCAGTTAAATATCTTGTGTCAAGTATTTTGCCTTAAGAATTTAAATGGAATGGGTTGTGTATTGATGATGACTTAAGTGGCTTGATTATCACTTATATGTAGGGCATCTATTATATTTGATAAGGTAAATATGTAAGCTAATGTTATATAATAGGTGTAACTTAGTGGAACTGGAGTCAGGTCAAGTTACTGATGTTTTTCATTTAAGAGTAACACTTAACATGATTTCCAGGAAGATTTATGTAAAGTTTGTCATTCACATATTACATTGCATAGAACCCTGTGTAGAAGGCAAGAGTAAATATCTTGCTAAATCCCAAAAAGGATGGTTTATATTCTTAAAATACGCTGTTTTAAAATTTTTATTATGTGACAAAATAAATTAATTGTATAAATGTAGTTAACTGCATGTATAGCACAAATTATTTATTGAAATAAATTAACCAAGATATACATAGGGGCTCAATTTTTTTTCTGAAAGAATCTGTGTATATGATACACAGGAAATATGATTCTTAACAGTTAATTGAATCAAACTAGTGAGGCTGGTTTGAAACCTCAGATTCAGTTTTAGGACTCAGATCTCTAAAGAATTTTTCTTTAATAAAAGTGATTTTAAAGGAGGACAGACATTGTGATGATCCAGGATTGCCATGGACCTGGAAACCCTGTGAGCCCTTTTGAAACTTCATGACAGGAATCAGATGTGATAGGACATCATCTCCAATTACTTGGCTTGATGCTTCAATTAAAAACTGATTATTTTTCTGGATCTGGTAGTCATTATGGTTGATTTCACTTGGTCTCTAGATATTCTGTGAAAGGACTCTAGGTGGAAATGTTTTCCTATAGTATAAGGAGAGGAGGTCATTATATGCAAAAAGGCTTGTCAGTTACTGATTCTACAATTTAGTTGCATTTTCTCATAGGGAGAATGCTAGATTTAAAAAAAAATATCAGTTTTCAGAATTTACGTGGATATTTCACTCTTTGTTGTAGCCCTTAGCCTCTGGATAATTCATTTATAATTTTGATAAGGAAGCATGTCACCAAGTTTCTTCCATGTATGGTTAGGGGCTACATTGGTGCTAACAACTTAAGAACTATTTAGTCATACAAGATCTTATTTCTTGGAAGGAAATCAATAGAGCTTAAAAAGATGTTTAATAAGGAAAATCAATTGAACTTAAGAAAGTTGTTTAATTATAAAAGAATAGGAGAGACAGGTAAAATAACAAGCAAAAGGTTTACCCATCTAACTGCATGTATGATTTCTTCCTTCAGCAACTATTTTTTATGTTAAAAAATCTTTTTCTATGATTTTTTCCATCCTCCCTTTTCTTTCCTTCCATCTTCCACCACCCCCTTCCTACTTTATTCCCTTATTTTTTTCTCTCTCACTTTTGGTTAAAATATTCCCTTCAGAAAGAAATTCGTGGCAATATTCAGGGTGGGGGAAAAGTAGGTTTACATTTGTGAGTATGTGAAATAGTGTTTATTCTTGTATTATTTTCCATATGGACAACTGTAAGCCTAGTTGCCCCATCCTATATAGTTGGTTATCTTATAATTATCATTCTATAATGATAGAATTTAATTTTGAATGGAAGGTACTCTTAAAATATTCTTTCATTTATTTAAAAATTTTATACAGAAGAAACCTATGAGAAAGTGGGGTTGATTCTTTAGGAAGTATAAACTATCAGTTGATGTTTATGTCTTATATCGTGATGCCTGCTGTGTCTCGATGCAACTCGACTGGCTTGTTTCTGGCAAGCACACATGCATGGAGAGTAGTCACTGGAGAGAGATGGGCTGCCTTGCAACATGGTGCATTTGTGCTTTGAGTGACTTATTTCTATGTAGCTAATAAACTCTCCATGTGCAAAATAGTCAACACAATCAAATCTGAAGTGTTCATACTACACAAATAGTTGAGCCACACTTGTCACTGTGGAACTGTTCAGAAATTAGGAACCCTTTTAAGGAAACCCTTAACTCTAAGTGTTTAGTAAATATAACAACTTTTTAAATATCACTCAAAATACAATTGCTGGATGGTCCTTAAATGTCCTCAAGAGAAAATCTAATGTCCAAAAATCTCCCAAGAGAAACTAAATTCTGTCCCACTGGAAGACAGCAGGGATAAGTAGAAAAAGAACTGAATTAGGTACCAAAAGATGTGGGTTCTACTCTGTCTCATGACTAATGGTATCACTTTTGAAAAGTTTTCTTATTTTTCTTAGGCTCAATGTCGAGTAATGTAAAACGGACATTTAATATCTACCCACTCATTTCTTATGCTTAAAATTTGACTAAACCTGGATTTAAGCTTTGGAAAAATAAAAATCTTTCAGTTGCTAACCAAGTATATGTCAGGCATTATAACACTTTACAGAAGAGTATATTAAATATATTTAAAGAGTATCTATAAAACTTGTGGAACATTTTGATATGCATTTGATAAGAGGATTTTTTTCTGACAGAGCCATTAACAAGTGTCATGAGAGAAAGATTTAAATGAACATATATCTATGTGAGATGATTTTTCTAAAAGCTATTAATATAGTGCAAATTGTGTGATGCTCACTGTGTGAGGCATAGAAGTATATGTGGGCATCTGAGCTGTGTTTACAGCTGTGATGATGAAGAAGAGGAAAAAGGAAAAAAAGAGTAAATTACTTTTGAATAATAAAGTTTAAATTCAGTCTGCCCATTGTTTCAACAACCTACATGTTTATTCTTCTTGTGTGTACTTATTATGATACAAAAGCAATTGCCATTGATTTCATTAGGTCAGTTACCCAATATCTTTAAACACTTAAAAATATAAAGCTTGTGAAATGTTAATATAATGGTCTAATTTGTGAAGTTGCACACAGAAATAGTGCCATATATTAGTTTTTGAATGTTTTTTATTGTTGTTCCAGTACAGTTGTCTCCATTTCCCCCTACCATTCCTCCCCCGACCTCAGCCATCCCAACCTACCACCACTGATCCTACCCGCCTTTGGTTTTGTCCATGTGTCCTTTATAGATGCTCCTGAAAACCCTCCCCTCTTTTTCCCCCATTTTCCCCTCTCACCTCCCCTCTAGTTACTGTTAGACTATTCTGTTTCAAAATCTCTGGTTATATTTTTCTTGCTTGGTTGTTTTGTTGATTAGGTTCCACTTATAAGTGAGATCATATGGTATTTGTCTTTTACCACCTGGCTTATTTCACTTAGCATAATGCTCTCCAGTTTCATCCAAGCTATTGTAAAAGGTAGGAGCTCCTTTTTTCTTTCTTTCTGCTGCATAGTATTCCATTGTATAATAGTACTACAGTTTTTTGATCCACTCACTGATGTGCACTTAGGTTGTTTCCACCACTTGGCTATTATAAATTGTGCTGCTATGAACATTGTGTTGCATAGGTTCTTTTTAATTGGTGTTTCAATGTTCTTAGGGTATAGTCCCAGCAATGGAATTGATGAGTTAACAGGCAGTTCCATCTTTAGTTTTCTGAAGAAACTGCATGCTGTTTCCCACAGTGGCTGTACCAGTCTGCATTCCCACCAATAGTGCACTAGGGTTCTCTTTTCCGTACAACCTCGCCAGCACCTGTTGGTTGTTGATTTGCTTATGCTGGCCATTCTGACGGGTGTGAAGTGATATCTCATTGTGGTTTTAATTTGCATTTCTCCGATGGCTAGTGATGCTGAGCACCTTTCAGATGTCTCTGGGCCCTCTGTATGTACTCCTTGAGAAGTGTCTGTTCAGGTCCTTTGCCCATTTTTTAACTGGGTTGTTTTCTTGAAGTGGAGTCTTGTGAGTTCTAGAGCAAGGGACATAACAGAAAGAATAAACAAATGGGACTTCATCAACATAAAAAGCTTTTGCACTGCTAAAGAAAACATCAGCAAAATGAAAATGGAACCAATTATATGGGAAAATATATTTGCTAATGATTCCTCGGACAAAGGTTTGATCTCCAAAACATATAAAGAACTCACAAGACTCCAGGTAAACAGTATCTTAGATTTTACAATGGAATTTGCCTAGGAATGCTGATAGTCCATTTGTCCTAATTTATTTTACTGACCTAGCTGCTAATTGTATTATTTATAGGTTATTTTCATCAGGTGAGTTAGTAAAAAAGGTAAATGGTAGATATTAAATGACTCATTGATTTGAATACAATTTTAAAAGCTCCATTGAAATAATTATGTGCTCTTTTGATGAAATATGAGTCCTGCTAGGATTCGAGGCTATAATAAATTTTGTTGCTTTTCTAAAGGTGTTCACTAGTTAATAT